ATGAGAGAATCACTGATCGGCTGCCTCCTGCACGCCCCCCACTGCGGATTGAGCCCGCAACCTGGGCCTGTGCCCTGACCGGGAACCGAACCTGGGGCCTTTCAGTCCGCAGGCAGGCACTCTACCCACTGGGCCACACCGGCCAGGGCCGCGGTGTTGGCTGTTCATCGAGTTTGGGATCTGTGGGCCTAGAGTACCCGGTGTGGGGAACGCTCAGCCGGGGTTTCCTCCAGGAATTCTCTGCACCCCCCTCCCCGCCCTCCCCTCTACTCGTCTGTGCCTCTCTCTCTCTCTGTCACTTCAAGCTGCTTCCGTGGCTGTCTGTCCCTCATCTTCGCCTCTGCCGTATCGAGTGTGACGTGCACTCTGCCCCGTGTATTCCATCTGAGACCCGGCAGCTTTCTGTTTTCTTTGCTCAGAAATCTGCTTTTGTTCTTTTTCCGTCCTCCGTGTTTCTCCTTAGGGGGCCCGGTTTTCCTCTCGTGCTTTCAACAGGTGGAGCAGGTGAGCGGCAGGTGTGGCCGTTCGAATGTCCCCGGGCCCTCACCCTGGTGCCGGGGCTGGGGTGGGAGTGGGCTCGCCCTGGGGGCTCGCTCTCCGCTCGGACAGCGGGGGCCGCGGGTCCTCGGACCCTCCGCGCCGCTCTCTGCCGCGTGGCCGAATGCCCGTCGGGTTTCCGTGAGGCGTGAGCCTCGGTGACGGGCTTGGGCCTGGCACTGCCCCCGGGGCGCCCCTCTCGGCGCCTCAGTTTCCTGTCTTTGCACGAGGTGCCGAGCCCGTGAGGGTAGTGGGGAACCTGTCCGCAGCGGAAAGCTCTTCACCCGCCGCTGCCGTGGACCAGGTGCAGGGAGAGGAGAGGCCGCCCTCCTGCCGCTGAGCCCGCCGCCCCTGCCCGGGAACACGGGGCGGGCGGTGCAGGAGGCGGCCCACGGCCAGGGGTTCAGGGCAGGCTTGCCCAGTGAGTCCCACCCCAGTCCATCTGCCCGTGCTGGTCCCTCGGGTCCTGGCGCCATACTGCCCCCTGGTGGCAGGAGGAGGGCAGGAACATGGCAGACCAGGTCCTGCCTTCATGGGGCTTGTGGTCGGGCGGGGCGGGAGGCAGGGCAGCCGGTCCCTCTGGCGCCCAGGCAGCTGGAGCAGGGAGAGGGCATCAGCTTTGGGGGGCCCTCCAAGCGCGCCCTGCTCCCCTCTGACCGTGTGGCCCCAGGAGCGCTCTCGGTGGAGCTGGCAGGGACATCTCTGGTCTCGGTTTGTCCCGAGAATGTGGGGGGTGTGGGAGTGTCTCAGCAGGTGGCAGTCATCCTGCCCGTGGGGCCGGGCTGGCGGGGCCCTGGCTGTGTCCGCTGCCGTCCTTCCTCGCCCTGACAGACCCTGCCCCAGCCCCAGCCCCAGCCCAGCCCCAGCCCCAATCCCACCCCCACCCCCAGCCCCAGCCCCAGCTCCAGCCCAGCCCCAGCCCCAATCCCACCCCCACCCCCAGCCCCTGCTCCAGCCCCTGCCCCAGCCCCAGCCCAGCCCCAGCTCCCTCCCTCTGCCCCAGCCCCAGCCCCAGCCCCTGCCCCTGCCCCAGCCCCAGCTCAGCCCCAGCCCCAGCCCCTGCCCCTGCTCCAGCCCCAGCCCCTGCCCCTGCCCCAGCCCCAGCCCAGCCCCAGCCCCCTCCCTCTGCCCCAGCCCCATCCCCATCCCCAGCCCCAATCCCAGCCCCAGCCCCAGCCCAGCCCCAGCCCCCTCCCTCTGCCCCAGCCCCATCCCCATCCCCAGCCCCAATCCCAGCCCCAACCCCAGCCCAGCCCCAGCCCCCTCCCTCTGCCCCAGCCCCATCCCCATCCCCAGCCCCATCCCCATCCCCAGCCCCAGCCCCAGCCCCAGCCCCAGCCCCAGCCCATCCCCAGCCCAGGCCCAGGCCCCGGCCCTAGCCCCAGCCCCAGCCCCAGCCCCTCCCTCAGCCCCAGATGGGCTCTGGATAACATCGCCAGCCCAGCCGCAAGCCGCCGCCCCCCTGCCCCCCCGGCTGGTGATTACCAGGCGCGGACCCCGAGCCGCGGAGCGTGAAATGAGGAACAAATGTGGGTCCGGTCTAGACAGGAACTCGCGGCCTAGACAGGAGCTGGGCTTCAGGTAGCGGGCTCAGCACCAGACGGTGTGCCCAAGGGGGACGAGCCCCAGGAGGCCGGGGGCAGCAGGCCGGGCCTGGCATTGGCGTGGCAGCCGGCGCCCAGCCTCGGCCCCAGCCCGGGAGGCTGCTTGTTAGTGCATGGATTTCAGGGTCCCGTTGGGGTCCCAGGCCTGAGCTCTTGTGACTTCCCAGGCCCCCCACGTCTGGGCCGGCTGGGTCGGAGGTCACTGAGTGGGGCGTGGGGAGGGTGGGCTGGGGATGGGGGCTCCCTGCCAGGCAGGGAGGGGTGGCCGAGCTCCAGGAGCAGAACAAGCAGGAGCGTCTGGAAGAGCACGCAGGACCCAGTCCAGATGGCGGCCGGCAGGTCCGCCCGGGCAGGGGAGGGGCGGAGGGGGCAGGTGGAGGGCGGGCGTCTGGCTGGGCTGCCAGGTGCTTCCTGCTCCCACCCCCAGCACCACTCCGGGGTCCCCTACACAGCAGACAACTGGAGCTCCCCGTGTCCCCCCCACCCCCACCCCACCAGGAGACACAGGCTATCAGAGGGCTTTAGCTTAGGGCCCTTCTCACCTCCCGTAGAAATACCGGAGGCACAGGGAGCAGGGCGGTTTAGGAAGCTGTAAGACCTGTTATGGTCCCAGGGGCCACATTAGCAGTTCAGCGAGACACCAGCCACATCGTCTGGGCTGGCAGCGTGGCCAGCACCTCCAGCAGGCTGTCGCCGGGCCTGCACACATCTCTCTGCCTCCCGGCCTTTGCCCTCGGGCTGGTTCAGTTGCCGCCGCCTCCAGGAAGCCCCCCCCTGGCTCTCCCAGAGCAGTGCCAGCCCCTCCAGCTCTGAGTCTCAAAGCCCATGGTTGGCCGAAGCTGGTTTGGCTCAGTGGTAGAGCGTCGGTCTGCGAACTGAAAGGTCCCGGGTTCAATTCCGGTCAGGGGCATGTACGTTGGCTGCGGGCACATCCCCGGTGGGGGATGTGCAGGAGGCGGCTGGTCGATGTTTCTCTCTCATCGACGTTTCTGGCTCTCTATCTCTCTCCCTTCCTCTCAGTGAAAAATCAATAAAATATGTATTTTTAAATAAATAAATAAATAAATAAAAGCCCATGGTTGGTCCATGGGACGCGGTGTCACTGGCTCAGCCGGGTCACGGCTCCCGGCCACGCAAACCCCTCGAGGGCGGGCTGGTAGAAGCTGCCAGACTGGATTCTCCAGCTCCTGGGCCGTGGGAATGGGCGGTCTCCTCCCCGCAGTGCCCGGGTGCAGATGAGGAAACTGAGGCCCAGGGGGAGGCCTCGGACCCGGGCGTCCCCCGCCTCGGGGTCCAGCTGGGCAGAGCCCCAGGGCACAGAAAGGGGCTCTGAAAGGCCCGGCGAGGGCGGCGGGGGTGGGAGGCGGGCAAAGGGCCGCTGGGCACTGTCTGTCCGCTGACCCGCTGTATGAAGTCACCGATGAACCACCCTCCCGCCCCTGCCCTACCTCCGCTTCCCCCTGCCCCCGCTCAGGGCTGCGAGGCACGGCTCCTCCCGGCACTGGCCCCTGGACATCCTGTGATGGGTGCCCAATCAGTCCAGGAGGCCTTCCTGGAGGAGGGGGCACGCTCTGGGCTCTGATGTCGGGGTCGGCCCTGGCCAGGCGGGGGAAGGGCGTCCTGGAGGCGGGACAGCAGGGCAGCGGGTGGAGGGCGGCTGGGGCCTCGGGAGGGCACGCTGCCCTCGGCCGCCTGGAGCTGACTGTGGGCTGACATCAGGCCGGGGATTGCGTCTCCTGGCCGGGCCCGGGCCTGGGCCGGGCTGGCTCCGCGGGCGTCGCTGCCCTGGGCGTGCACGGGTCTGCGGAGCGAGGCTGAGGTGCTCCAGCTGGACAGGCCGCTGTCGGAGCCGCAGGCAGCTGCTGACAGCGCCGGGCGCCCGGCCGAGCCTGCACCTCCCCGCCTGGCCGCCAGGCTGCCGCGCTGACCCCTCCCAGAGCGGGCAGCGGCCCCACCTCAGACGCTCCCAGTGCCCACGGGGACCTGGGGTGGCGTGCCCCGGAGGGGGCAAAGCCCGGAGGGGGCACAGCCCGGAGGGGGCACAGCCCGGAGGGGGCACAGCCCGGAGGGGGCACAGCCTGGAGGGGCACAGTCTGGAGGGGCACAGCCCGGAGGGGGGACAGCCCGGAGGGGGCACAGCCTGGAGGGGGGCACAGCCCGGAGGGGGCACAGCCCGGAGGGGGGACAGCCCGGAGGGGGACAGCCCGGAGGGGGACAGCCCAGAGGGGGCACAGCCCGGAGGGGGACAGCCCGGAGGGGGCATAGCCCGGAGGGGGGACAGCCCAGAGGGGGCATAGCCCGGAGGGGCACAGCCCGGAGGGGGCATAGCCCGGAGGGGGGACAGCCCAGAGGGGGCATAGCCCGGAGGGGCACAGCCCGGAGGGGGCATAGCCCGGAGGGGGGACAGCCCAGAGGGCACAGCCCGGAGGGGGCACAGCCCGGAGGGGGGACAGCCCAGAGGGGGGACAGCCCAGAGGGGGCACAGCCCGGAGGGGGACAGCCCGGAGGGACACAGCCCGGAGGGCGCACAGCCCGGAGGGGGACAGCCCGGAGGGGGCATAGCCCGGAGGGGGGACAGCCTGGAGGGGTACAGCCAGGAGGGGGACAGCCCAGAGGGGGCACAGCCCAGAGGGGGCACAGCCCGGAGGGGGACAGCCCGGAGGGGGCACAGCCCAGAGGGGCACAGCCCAGAGGGGGCACAGCCCGGAGGGGTACAGCCAGGAGGGGGACAGCCCAGAGGGGGCATAGCCCGGAGGGGCACAGCCCAGAGGGGGCACAGCCCGGAGGGGGGACAGCCCAGAGGGGGCATAGCCCGGAGGGGCACAGCCCAGAGGGGGCATAGCCCGGAGGGGGGACAGCCCAGAGGGCACAGCCTGGAGGGGGCACAGCCCGGAGGGGGCACAGCCCGGAGGGGGCACAGCCCGGAGGGGCACAGCCTGGAGGGGGACAGCCCAGAGGGGGCACAGCCCGGAGGGGGGACAGCCCAGAGGGGGCACAGCCTGGAGGGGTACAGCCCAGAGGGGGCACAGCCTGGAGGGGTACAGCCAGGAGGGGGACAGCCCAGAGGGGGGACAGCCCGGAGGGGGCACAGCCCGGAGGGGGGACAGCCCAGAGGGGGGACAGCCCGTAGGGGGCACAGCCCGGAGGGGGGACAGCCCGGAGGGGGCACAGCCCGGAGGGGGCACAGCCCGGAGGGGGCACAGCCTGGAGGGGTACAGCCCGGAGGGGGCACAGCCCGGAGGGGGCACAGCCCGGAGGGGCACAGCCCAGAGGGCACAGCCCGGAGGGGGCACAGCCTGGAGGGGCACAGCCCGGAGGGGGCACAGCCCGGAGGGGGGACAGCCCAGAGGGCACAGCCCGGAGGGGGCACAGCCCGGAGGGGGCACAGCCCGGAGGGGGGACAGCCCAGAGGGGGGACAGCCCGGAGGGGGCACAGCCCGGAGGGGGGACAGCCCGGAGGGGGCACAGCCCGGAGGGGGCATAGCCCGGAGGGGGGACAGCCCAGAGGGGGGACAGCCCGGAGGGGGCACAGCCCGGAGGGGGGACAGCCCGGAGGGGGGACAGCCCGGAGGGGGCACAGCCCGGAGGGGGGACAGCCCGGAGGGGGGACAGCCCGGAGGGGGCACAGCCCGGAGGGGGGACAGCCCGGAGGGGCACAGCCCGGAGGGGGGACAGCCCGGAGGGGGCACAGCCCGGAGGGGGCACAGCCCGGAAGGGCACAGATAGTAACGGCGAGCTCATTGCCACTGTCTAGAGGAGCCTGGACCGTGTCCCTGTGCTCCTGGCGAGGCGGGAACTGAGGCGCAGAGACCCCGGACCCACAGGGGAGCCGGGCTGGTGCTGGGGGTCCTGCCAGGGCGTCAGGGGAGGCGTGCACCCGGCACAGCCTCGGATCCCTGTGTGACCCCGGTTTCTGTCGAGCCCAGTGAGTCCTCTGGTCGGCGAAGTGGGGCCATGATGATCTTTTTGGGGGTAAACAGCAGAAACACAGTCCCGGGGGCGCTCTGCGGAGCTGGGGCGGGAATCAGAACCCAGGGGTCCGGACCGCAGGCAGCCTGGCTTTCTCGGGGTCCCTGTGTCCTTCCTCTCCCCTCCTGGCCCAGCACCTCGGCCCCCACCCTGTGGCAGCAGCTGGAGCACCCATGTCCGCACCCGCAGATGGCCGGCAGGGACTGGCGTCCAGGTCGCGCTGTCACCGCCGAGCCTGGGTGCACGCCCACCCTGCCCTCGGGGAGTGTGGCCAGATTGGCGGCAGCCAGGTGCATGGCTCCGGGGCAGGATATGGAGGGGTGCTGGGCTGGCACCCCAGACCCCTCGGCTGCACCCCTACAAACGTGGCGTGGGCTGCGGTGTGACACACAGCAGAGGCGTGGTCAGCGGGGGAGCATGTGCTGCCCCAGGCGGGGTAGGGACCGCAGATCCAGCCTTGACCCTGACCCTGCAGCTTCCTGGTCCCTCTCCGGCCTCAGGTGGCTCGTCCTCCACACGGGGCCCACACCCCGGGTGCTGGAGTGAAGCCTCGGGAGGGGGACCTGCCTGACGGGAGGGTGCTCTCGGGGCCTGGCGGGTCTGGGCTCCCGTGGCAGGCAGCGGCACACGTGGCTCTCAGGCGGGAGTGAGGCCGCCCGGACGGGGCCTGGGTTTGGCCGGTCCCTGGGAGTGGCCCTGCCTCCTCTGAGCCTCCATCTCCTCCCTGCCAAGTCGGGGCCCCATGTCTGTTCTGCCCCCACAGCTGCCCGAGGACTAGGGAGGGTGCTGGGGCCGTTGTGCTGCGTGCTCTCCCGCCAGGTCAGGCCGAGGTGTGTGTGGCATCCTGTGCCCCTCAGACCAGAGGGCTCTGCCCCGCGCTGCTCTGCCTGCCTCCCCTCAGCGCAGAGCAGGGGCCGCGTCTGGACAGCCGGCCTGCCCCCTCCCCCCCCCCCCCCAGCGTCCCCCGCCGGCCGCCTCCTCGCACCCCCGCTCCCCGGACCGGCGCTCAGGCTGCAGCCTTGGCACGCCGGCGGGCCAGCTGGCCTCAGCCGCCCCAGGGGCCGCGGCAGGTCTGCCGGCAGGGCGCCCGGGAATGCGGGGTCCCGGCTCCCGCGGCCCGTCTGTGTGGCCGGCGCGGTGCTCAGGCTGTCTGGTCTGCCCGTCTGTCTGCGTGCGGAGCTGTCTGTGAGTCTGGCGCCTTGTCTAATCACTGAGGGGCTGTCTAGGCCTGCCTGCCTGCCTGCCTGCCTGCCTGCCTGCCGGAGGTCTGGTCCCTCACCCAGCTTTGCCCCCGATGCACAGCAGTGCCTGGCACCCCCCCCCCCCTTCCATCTGTGTCCCCCTCCATCTGCACGCAGGGGCCCTGGTGTCTGCCTGACCCAGCTCCCTCCCAGGCCACCTGACCCTGGCAGATGGGTCTGCAGGAACCGCTGCCCCCCACCCCGACCTCCCACACACCTTCCCTGCACCCCCCGCCCAGCTCGGAGGCTCAGCCCCTCCTTCCCTCCCGCCCGCCCGCCGCCCAGACAGGACTCTGAACCAGGCCCGTCTGTCAGGGCTCCTCACACATTCCCGGGAGAGGGAAAGCGGGCTCGGTTCCAGCCGGTCCTTGGCAGGTCTCCCCAAGCCTCACCGTGTGCGCCTGCAGCTCTTCCCTGCACATCCTGTGATCACCGGAGCGGGGACACAGGGCCGCCCGCCGGGGGGCCTGGCGGGGGGACCCCCGGGGAGACCCCAGTGTCCAGGGAAAAGAGGACAGACCAGCAGGTGAGGGGGGGCCCTGCGGAGGGTATGTGTGGAAAGCTGCTTTTGCCTAAAAGGGGGAAGGAAGTGTGCATTTCCCTATATTTTCAAAGGACATGACTATTGATTCCAGAGAAAGAGAGAGATAGAAACTTCCATGATAAGAGAGAGTCATCGCTCGGCTGCCTCCTGCACGGCCCCTCTGGGGTGGAGCCTGCCACCCGGGCCTGCGCTGCGACCGGGAACGGAACCCTGACCTGGTTCATAGGTCTGTGCTCCACCCCTGCTCCCGCCGCCGGCCATTCTCCTGTATTTCTAGAAAGAAGCAATGAAGGGCCAACCCCGGACCCAGTGAAACCGTCCTCGAGGCCGAGCCAGGGCCGGGAGGGGGCGGGGGCAGGTTTGGGAGCGAGACCCGCCGGGAGCCGCTGGCCGTGCTCCCGGCTCTGGAATCAGATGTTTCTACGACGGAAGATAGAAAGGGAACCGGGCTGAGAAGGAGAGCGCTCCGGGGAGAGACAGGGAGGAGGCACGTGTGGTGGGAGCACCCGCGTGAGGACTATTCCAGTGACTGGGACAACGCTCACCTCCATCCCTAAGAGGCAAGCACAGCAGCCTCCAAAGGCAAGCAAATACCCAGCTACAGTCAGTGATTTGTTAGCACACAGCCGGTCTGATTATTCTATAGAGGCCCGGGGCGCAGAATTCATGCACAGAGAGGAGGGTCCCTCAGCCCAGCCTGCACCCTCTCCAATCCGGGACCCCTCGGGGGATGTCCCACTGCCTGCGGGATCAGGTCTAAACCGGCAGTCGGACATCCCTCTCACAGTCCTGGACTGCTGCCTCCTAATTGCTCACCTGTCTGCCTGGCTGGTCACCCCTAACTCCCCCCCCTCTCCCCGCCAGCCTGGTCACCCCTAAATGCCCCCCTGCTGGCCTGGTCACCCCTCTCAGCCTGCTGCTCAGTTGTTCCGTTGGCCCTCACTAACCCCCCGCCGCCCTGGCCACCCCATGCAGCCTGCTCGGTTGTCCCGTTCAGTTGCTTTGGTTGCGACAGTCTCTTAGGCTTTTATATAAATGATGTAACGGGAAACGCAAATACACACGGGAAGAGGACTGTTGCTGAGCCACGGGACATCCGCATTAACAGGTGGAAGCCCTGCTCGCTCCCGCGTTAAGTGGAAGCACCAGTATGACCTGTCCCATTTCTCTCTTCCTAAGAAACAGTTTTAAGAAATATTCCCGCCCTGGCCGGTGTGGCTCAGTGGGCAGAGTGTTGGCCTGCACACCTAAGGGTCTCGGGTTCGATTCCTGGTCAAGGGCAGGTGCCTGGGTTGCAGGTTCCATCCCCAGTGACCGGGTCCCATTCAGGAGGCAACCAATGAGCTACCAAAAAAAAAAAAATTCTTGTTAAAACATGGGCTTAAAATACTTTCTGAGTGTAAACCTAACGATCGAAAAGGAACCCCTCCCGCAGGTGTGGGGACCCTCCCAGGTGTGGGGACCCTCCCAGGTGTGGGGACCCCTCTCAGGTGTGGGGACCCTCCCAGGTGTGGGGACCCTCCCAGGTGTGGGGACCCCTCTCAGGTGTGGGGACCCTCCCAGGTGTGGGGACCCTCCCAGGTGTGGGGACCCCTCCCAGGTGTGGGGACCCTCCCAGGTGTGGGGACCCCTCTCAGGTGTGGGGACCCTCTCAGGTGTTGGGACCCTCTCAGGTGTGGGGACCCTCCCAGGTGTGGGGACCCCTCTCAGGTGTGGGGACCCTCCCAGGTGTGGGGACCCTCCCAGGTGTGGGGACCCCTCTCAGGTGTGGGGACCCCTCTCAGGTGTGGGGACCCTCCCAGGTGTGGGGACCCCTCTCAGGTGTGGGGACCCTCCTGCAGGTGTGGGGACCCCTCGCAGGTGTGGGGACCCCTCTCAGGTGTGGGGACCCTCCTGCAGGTGTGGGGACCCTCCCAGGTGTGGGGACCCCTCTCAGGTGTGGGGACCCTCCCAGGTGTGGGGACCCTCTCAGGTGTGGGGACCCCTCCCAGGTGTGGGGACCCCTCTCAGGTGTGGGGACCCTCCCAGGTGTGGGGACCCCTCTCAGGTGTGGGGACCCTCCCAGGTGTGGGGACCCTCCCAGGTGTGGGGACCCCTCTCAGGTGTGGGGACCCTCCCAGGTGTGGGGACCCTCTCAGGTGTGGGGACCCCTCTCAGGTGTGGGAACCCTCCCAGGTGTGGGGACCCCTCTCAGGTGTGGGGACCCTCCCAGGTGTGGGGACCCTCCCAGGTGTGGGGACCCCTCTCAGGTGTGGGGACCCTCCCAGGTGTGGGGACCCTCTCAGGTGTGGGGACCCCTCCCAGGTGTGGGGACCCTCTCAGGTGTGGGCCCGGGGCTGGCCGGGAGGCGGCCTGGCCCCCTGCCGGCGTGCGCCCGGGCGGCGGACCCTTCCCCTGAGGGAGCCCTGTGCCGCAGGCGGTGGATGGAGAGGGGCGCGGATGACAGCCGGCACCGTGGTCATCACCGGGGGCATCTTGGCGACTGTGATTCTGCTGTGCATCATCGCCGTGCTGTGCTACTGCCGGCTGCAGGTGAGGGGGGGGGCCGAGGGCGCCTGCGCGGGAGGGAGCCCACAGATTCTGGGCTCAGGAAGGGGGAGGAGTCCGGTCTCCAGCAAAGTGCAAAGCAGACCGCCTGCCCGCCTCTGCCTGGGGGCTCGGTGCCCGGGCTGCCCAGGCTCCCACACAGCACCGGGCCCTCTCCCCCTCCCCACCCACCCTCCGGGCAGGGGGGGAGGCAGGGGTGCAGGAGAGGAGGGGAAGCCAGGTGTGGGCCAGGGCGGCACATGAGCCAGGCTGAGGCCAGCCACCTGCACCATGCACTGCCTCGGGTGTGCCGAACAGAGCGAGCCCTCAGTGCAGCGCTCAGCAGAGCACTGGCCGGGGGAGCGCCCCTGAGGGCGGGGCCGGGGTGAGGCTGGGAGGGGGGCGGCCGCACTCACACCCTCTGCGCCCGCCCGCAGTACTACTGCTGCAAGAAGGGGGCCTCTGAGGAGGACGAGGAGGAGCCCGACTTCGACCCGCACCCGGGCCTGCCGCCGCTGCACTCCAACCGCCACCTGGTGCTGACCAACGGGCCCGGCGCCTTCGGGCAGCCGTCCCCGCGGGCCCGCGCCCTCCGCCCCGGCTGCTCCCGCTGCGAGCCGCCCGCCGTGCTCCTGCAGGAGCCCCAGGACCAGGGCGTGCGCAACGGCGGCGAGCGCGTGGCCTACCGGGCCATCAGCCAGGAGGACGTGGAGGGGCCCCCCGCCTTCGGGGGCCTGCAGCCTCTCAACCCCAACCGCCTCTCCGCCATGCGGGAGGCCTTCGCCCGGAGCCGCAGCATCAGCACCGACGTCTGAGCGCCTGTCCCTCCGCCCCCCACCGCTCCTCGCCCCCCTCCCGGCCCCCGTCTACCCAGAGCGCAGGCCCCAGCCATGGAGGGGTCCCCATGGCCCTCCCGCCCGGCCCCGGGCCCGGCCCAGCCTTCCCCGCGTCCCTGCCAGCACGGGGCCCCGCCCCCAGGGGCCTCGGGGGCTCAGAGCAGGGACAGGCAGGGCCCAGGGGCGAGGCCGGGGCTGGAAGGGGGGCGGGCATGATGCCAGGTGAGCCTCAGCCTCAGGTGTCATGGGTCATGGCCTCCGGTCAGCCCAGCCGCCCGGCCGTCTCCTGGAGGCCCTGCCACTCCCCCCTCGGCCTCCGTCTCCCTGCCTCGTCCGGAGGGGCGGCCGCCAGCCTTCCTTCCAGCGATTCTGGACCAGCTCTCCTCCCCTCCAACCAGATGGGGTGGCCGCGCTCCCCTCCCCCTCGCCCCTGGCTCCCAGGGCCAGGCGGCCGACACCAGCTCAGCGGCCTCTCCGCAGACCCCTCGCAGGGCAGTCTCAGGGCCGGCCGGCCTCAGGGATGCAGTCCCGACTGGCTTTTTAAACAAATAATATATTTTTACTGATTTCAGAGAGGAAGGGAGAGGGGGAGGGAGAGAAACATCCATGATGAGGGAGAATCACGAACCGGCCGCCTCCTGCACGCCCCACCCTGGGGATCTAGCACAAAACCCAGCCTGGGCCCTGACCAGGAATCGAACCCTGACCTCCTGGGTCATAGGTCGGCGCTCAGCCCCTGAGCCTGCCGTCCGGGCGCCAACCGGCTTTTTGATGAAAGTGAGAGAAGAGGCTCTGTCCCGCCCACCTGCTTCGGAGTGTCCTCTCTCCAGCACAGCCCACTCCTCTCACCCGACCAGGTGGGTGGACAGAGCAGTGAGACCCTCTGACGCGCCATGAGACCCGAGACAGGGCCCCCCGCCCCCCACCCCACCCCCCGCCTCGGGAGCCCTTCCAGCCGCAGTCCCGGGGGACAGAGCACCCCTCCCGCCCCGTTTCTCCGGAGGCTCTGGGAGCGAGGCCGGCCCAGCCCCCTAGCCCGGAGCCCCCTCAGCCCCCCTCCCCGGCTGGGGAAGCGGTGCCCAGGGCACCTGGGGACACACCTCCATCCGGGGCTCCCGCCAGGGGGACGCAGCCCCCACTCAGCACAGGCAGCGTCTCCCCTCCCAGCATGCCTCCCTGCCCCCCAGGGCTCTCTGCCCCTGGAACCCCAGGGTGGGGTGGCCCCGTCTACCCACAAGGATGGACCGAGACCCCTCTGGCCTTCCTACAAGACCAGCCTCTGCGGGCAGTGACCGTCCTGAGCCGCAGTCCGAGCGGCTGGTACTCGGAGTGCTGCGCTGAGACGGCCGGAACGGGCGGGCGCGGAGTTAGGAAGACTGGCTTTTTAAAATTTTTTAAATACATTTTTTTATTGATTTCAGAGAGGAAGAGAGAGGAAGAGGGAGAGAGAAACAACCATGAAGAGAGAGAATCGTGGACCGGCTGCCTCCTGCACGCCCCCTACTGGGGATGGGGTGCCTGACCGGGAATCGAACCGTGACCTCCTGGTTCATAGGTCAGTGCTCAACCACTGAGCCACACAGGCCAGGCCAGGCTGCTTTTAGCATTCTTGATCTTCCCCTCTTCCTTTCTCCTCCTGCCTCAGTTCAGACACTCCAGACTCCCCAGAGCCCCCCCCCACGCCCCCTTTGTGGACCCCACACCATTTCCGATGCATTAGCGTGGGGCGGGGGGGGGAGGGGGAAGGGGACGAGGGGAGGGGCGGGGCCGGGAGGGGCGCTTCCTGTGGCTTCCTGTCCCGTGTTCCTCCGTCCTTCTGCCCTCTGCGTGGTCTCAGAGGTTTGGAACGAGAGAAGCACCGGCCGTGTGTGCCCTCAGCACTCCCAGCAGAGCAGAAGCCAATAAACCGACTTCCACACCGCACACCGCCGCCTCCGTGCCCCCTGGGAGCTTCTGCGGGAGGGCACAGCGGGGGCCAGGCGGAGCTGGCCTCTCCGTGCAGCCCGGGGCAGGCTCTGCCCAGCAGGGCAGCTGCTAAAGCCACGTCCGTCCGTCCGGGGCCCCGGGGGCTGTGTCCAGCTGAAGGACGGACCAGGGACCCGGACGCTGAGCTCCGGGCGCCGTGGCGGTGACGGCGGGTCCCCGGTGCCATGTCAGCACTGCCCGGGAGGGCAGCGGCTGCACAGACTGCGCTGGCCTTTAGGACGGGGACAGGGGCGCTGGCGAAGCCCCGGGCACAGCCTGGCACACAGCGGACACAGCAAGTGCTGGCCGGAAGGAGGACACAGGAGAGGGGAGATGGGGAGGAGGGGGAGCTGTCAGGGGTCAGGGACAGGACACGGGGTCACAGAGACTCACCTCCCCTGGAAACAAGCCAGGGACCCTGAGCAAGCCCACCCCACGGGCTTCAATGTCACCCCATCACACCCCCCAACCCTTGTGTGTCCCCTGCTCGGGCCCCACGTCCGGGGAAGCAGCCACTTGCCATCCTGCCGCCTGTCTGCCCCCAGAGGAGCCATGGCTGTCCCACGGTGGGGGCACCGGTGCCCGCCCCGGCTGCAGCACCCCCGTCTCCCCCGAGGCCTCTGCCAGCGGCTGCCGCCTCACCTCCCCCCTCCTCAGGGACAGCCCCTCCTGCTGTGGGGCCAGCCTCCACGTCACCTCCTCCGGGGAGCCCTCCTGGGTCCCCTCACCCCCAGTCCATGAGAGAGTGAGGTCCAGACACAGTGCTCCATGTGGCCCACCCGCCTGCCTCATCCCCATGCCCCGCCCAGCGCACCCAGACACGGGCACTTTTCTCCGAGGCTCAGACTGTGAGGTTCACACCAGCACCTGCACCGCCAGGGCCCTCCTAGCGCCCTGGTCCTCCCAGGCCCTCGTGTTTCACTCGCAGCCTCCCAGCCCCAGGTCCCCACCACCAACAGCCTCCAGAACGGGACTCATTTCTGACTCCCATGGAGTCTTGGTGCCCCGACACTCCTGCCTGCGGGCCCCCCACCCTGCCACCTGCCGCCCCTCGGGGCCGCTGCGCCCGGCAGCCCAGCCCCGTCCCAGGTCCCGAGGCCTCGGCAAACCGTCCTCCGGGGGGCGCTGCGCGGCCGGCCTGACTCAGCCACGGCGAGCCCCGTGCCACCATAAATAGACACTTTATTCAGGTGCGGCGCTGGCGGAGGGCGGACAGGGTGCTGGGAGGTGCTCTTCCCGGCTAAAGTGCGGTGGCCCCGAGCCAGTGTGGCGTGGGGAGGCAGCGGGTGCGAGGATGGCCATGAGGCTCCTGTGGAGGAGTCACCATGCAGGCCCGGGCCCCAGGCGGCCCCTCCTCTGCCCGCCCGCCCCCGCCGCCACCCTGGGGGCAGCAGGACCCGCCCAGGGCTGAGCAGCCTTGAGGGGCAGGAGGGCCGGTCACCTCCACCTCTGGGCTCTGGGCCGCGGTCGGCCGGGTGCTGGGTGAGGTGCTGGGGCCCGTCCAGGAGGCCCGGGGTGCGGCTCCCCTCCCGAGAGCCAGGCTCAGTTTCACATCTTCGCGGCCAGGGGCCCGCAGGGAGTGCCCGGGCCCGGGGGCTGGTGTCAGGCCGGGCGCCTGCAGGGAGTGTCCCGGGGGCCGTCTCAGGCGGCGGCTCGGCCGGGGCCGGGGGCCGTCTCAGGCGGCGGCTCGGCCGGGGCCGGGGGCCGTCTCAGGCGGCGGCTCGGCCGGGGCCGGGCGGCCGGCAGGAGCGGCAGCACGCCTTGCTGTAGTACCAGTGGCCACACAGGTTCACCTTGATGGCCAGCGCGCAGTTGGTGCCTGGCTGGTCCTGGCAGCTGTCATCTGGGGAGAGGGGCGCGGGGGGCACGGGCATCAGGATGGGACCGCCCCTCCGCCCCCCCCCGCCTTCAGCTGAGGGAAGGGTGTGCACAGGGCGCCCTGGGGGACGGGGCACCTGTGGACAGTGGTCCTTCTGTGCCCATTGCAGAGTCAGGGGCACTGGGCCTCCCGGCCCACAGCGGGCACCGGGCTCATTTCTCTGCCACCCAATGCTGCCCAGGACCGACATGGGTCCCCATGAGAGGTTTGACCTGAGCAGGGGCAAGAGTGACGTCCAGGGGCCAGGGCTCCCGGACCTCACCCCCAAAGTGCCCCTGGGAGGCCCACAGCGCCCCGTCAGAGCCCAGCTTGTCCACCTCCCCTGTGCCTGAGCCAGAGACACAGTCAGCCCCTCACCCTGCCTCCCACATGCCCAGCTCTGAGGACACCCCCCCCACTGCTGCTCCCCCTGTCCCCCCCTGCTGCTCCCCCTGCCCCCCCCTGCTGCTCCCCCTCCTCCCCCTGCTGCTCCCCCTGCCCCCGCCACCGAGCCCAGACTCTGCCCAAGGAGCAGGTCGCCGTGGCTCCCAGACCCTGAACACCAGCCAGGCCTCACCGGCCGCCCCTCCTGCCCGCCCTGCCCGCCCTGCCCGCCCGCCAGGCTCAGCCGTCCCGGGGGACCTCGCGCCCTACCTGGTGCCCCTGGCTCTTACCACGCCTCCCGGGAAGCCACGCCCCCCTCACCTGGGGGCTCCGTGGGGCAGGGCTGCAGGTCACAGGCCAGCCTGCCCACCGGCTTCACCAGCGGGTCGCAGCCGCGGACGAGGTCGGTCCCCTGGTAGCACTTCACGTCCCGCATCCGCACGCCCGCCCCGCAGGTCTTGGTGCACTGGGGGGAGAGGGCGGGGCCGCCGTCGCCACGGGCTGCCGAGTCCCAGCTCACGCGGGCACACACAGCTCGGGTGACGGGGTGGGGTGGGGGGCACTGGCTGGCGGTCAGGAGGCTGGTCCTCAGCCCCACCAGGCTCGGCCTCAGTTTCCCGCCCGCACAGGAGGGGGTGAGCCTCCGCTCCCACGCCCCCCAGGCTCTCCGGGGCCGGGCCCCGGAGCACCGCTCTCCACTCCCGTCAGGAGCCGTGTCTGCCGTGGGCCGGCTGCACGGCCCCGAAGCCCCCTCCGCGCTCTGTCCAGATGCTGCCCTCGGAAAACCCCGCCGAGCGGCCAGACTCCAGGGACAGCTGCTGACCCCGGTTAGCCCCACGCCTCCCGCCAACAGCCGCAGGCGGCCCCCTGGCTCCCCCGCGCGGCTGACCCCACGTCACCCAGGCCGTCTGGGCCCTGGGCCCGTCCTCCGGCCCCTCCGCGGAGGAGGGGACTCAGCGGGGAGCGGCCCCGCCATGCCCACGCGTGCTCGGCTTGGCATTGAGCGGGGAGGACAGTGGCCTCCGGTGGATGCCCCGAGGAGCCTCTGGGTTGGCCCCGGCACCTCCTCCTCCGTCCGCGGGGAGGGGAAGCAGCTGGAGGAGCAAGCTCTCACCAGCCTCCCACACCCACTGTCCTGCCAGCTCCCCTCCCCTCTCACTGCCATGGGGCAGTACAGGGGGACCCGCCCCCAGCGCTCCCAGGCTGTCTTTTGGGCTCCCCCTCACCCCCGTTCATGGCTCTCCTCCCTTCGGGGGTGGCACCCAGCACAGCACCTGCACCTAGCGGGTTCTGCCCGCCCACAGCTGCCCCCCCCGCCGCCCTCCGCTGAGGCCCAACGCCACTTTCCAGGTGCAGGTTCAGCATGGCTTCCGGGGACCCCAAGCCCTGGCCCAGCCGCACCTGCTGCCCTTCCACCCTCACCTAGCCGGCCCCCGCTGTTCCAAGGAGGCCCCTTGCACCCTGACATAGCTCCACAGCCAGTACCCCCCTCGGCCCCCTGGCTGTGCCACCCCAGGAGCAAGGGAGCTGCCACTCTTCCTCCTGGCTGCCCTCTGCCCCAGCGCCCAGGTCCGCCATGCCGCTGCAGCCGGGCCCCGCGTCCTGCCAGGCCCTGGTTCCCGCGGCCCCACAAGCCCTGAGGGCACAGTGCTGTGAGATGCATGGCTAACAGGCTGCTGTGCGAGGGCAGAAGCGACCCAGACTAAGAGCGGCCCAGGCCCAGCGTTGCAGGGATCCCAGAGGTGAGATCCAGGAAGGCTTCCTGGAAGAGGGGGCAGAGTTGAGAAGCTTTCGGGGACGGAAGTCAGGATGGAAGCTGACGGGGAGATGAGGGGCACCTGGGGCAGGCGCAGAGGTACTGGCCTCGGGCCTGGCCCCGGCGGCTCCGAGGGCAGCGGCAGGTGCTCACCTCAGACCACGGGCTGGTGTACCACTTGAAGCAGGGCCTCTCGAAGCACATGTTCTCCTCGGGCGGCTTGGTGGCCAGCCCGCACTCGGGGCCGCTGCGCGTCTGCGGCTTCCCATTGGCCAGCTCCATGCATAGCACCAGCCGCTTCTTCACGCCACGGCCGCAGGTGGTGTTACACTGAGCCGGGGACAGACAGGGTCAGAGGCCAGGGGTCAGAGGCCAGGGAGCAGATGGGGTCGGAGGCTGGGAGTCAGAGACCAGGATATGGCCCATGCGGCTCCGGGGGGAACATAGCCACCGGGGGACATGCTGAGGCGGGTGGCATAACGGCCGAGAACTCTGCTCCATCACCATTTGGCCCCAAGCGGGTTTGGTCAAAAGCAGTTTAG